CAAGGACCCTAGTATCAGAACAATATTTGGAGGAAAAATTGATCACGCAGGCAAACCTTACCTGCCAAGTTCGTTGGGTCCAAGGCCATCCCGTAAAGTTCTTCAAATTCTGTCTTCTTAAATCCATCAACCGGGAACCGCTTCTTTATTTGATTTTCATCGAGGTTCCTGCATGATAGTCCTGTCCGAAGGCAAAGGCGTAAATTACCAGTTGCAGTTCTTTGAGTACTTCTTGCCACGGTTAGTGGTACTTCATCCAGTACGTAGAGCAGGCCCACCTCGAGAAGTGGTTCGATATTAGCCATATCAATTCTGTCGGTGACTCCCTCAATTAAAGATTCCTATGAAAGAATAGAACCATATCATGAGTATCAGTTTGGCATAATAAGTAACATGGAATTAACTTGAAAATCGAATATGCCAACCTCCACATCAACCCATAAAGTATACATGAATTGGTTGCTCTCCGTTCCCATGTATTCATCAGATAGCCAGATATGAATCAAGCGCAGTACAATGTGACCAGCTACCATTTTTCCTTTGAGGTCCCAAACTGTAGTTGACGTACTGATTAGGTCTGAAATTGCAAAAAGGAAGTACACGCCATTCAACTACTGACAGCAACAGCAACGACCGTATCCATGCACTGGAAAATAAAAGAACTGGCCGATTGTTTCCCCCCTGTATAAATAACAGTGCCGACATGTAAATGATTAGAGTGTGAGGAGTCCAACCTTCTGGGGAACTTCGTAGGGTACAATTGAGGTCCATTGAATTGTGTGAAACTTTGGCCCAGGCGACAGAGAGCATAAACTGCGGTGAACTGAGAGGCCAAGGAATGCCGGGATTTCAAGGCAAACCCTAATTTCACATGCGGCGATGTTTCCCCCAAGCACAAGGATAATGAGTTCAGACAATAAAAGCGGAACACTATGCATGGTATACCAAACTGCAAGTAAAAGAGAGATAAGTACAAACCGTTTGCGTCGAGTTGACGATGCAGCGCAGGATGGAAATAAAGTTCAGGCGAACTGAAGTTTGCATAGCACTTATTGAATTAGAAATCCAGAGTTCCTTATACACGAAAGGAAGTAGGTGGTTGTTCAGGGTGAGTAAAAACGACTGTCAGTGTCTAAGGACCACAAAAAAAACCATGTGGGCCGAAATCTCCTCCACGGTTGATTAGGGGAAACGACAGTGACGTATGAGTTCTTGTTGTGGGCTATAAATGGGCTGTCATGTCTAACAGGCCCTTGCGGAATAGTTGTTTCACTTGGTTATGTAGAATGGGTCCATATATGTAGCTATCTACCTTAGAAAAGTGTACAGGAAAAACCACATATCCTAAACTGAACTGTTCCCATTACACTGGCGGCAATAAAAGTTTGGGAGAATGGAATGGGGTGTGGCACATTTCTGCCACTTCATTGAGCATTTGTTTTGTATTGATCAATTAAACTATAATAACAGGGAATTCTATTTCGGTAATGTACATTTAACACACGGGAAGATTTAATCGGGATAGTGCAAGACATCCATCCCAATGACATTTTTCTCAGAGTAAAGGTTTTTTGGAACTCGAGCGATCAATATGTGCACTTGTGCTTGAATGGTGAGTATTCATGCAAGTGAAATACACAGATGAAATTAGTATGATGTTGTAAGACCTTCAAATTGATTTAATGTACTACCAAATGAATCGCAAGACTATGTTGCTTAAGACGATCCCTTTTAGTAGCGGGTTGTTGGTGTTAGAGATAGATTACGAATAATCTTATAAATATGAATCAATTAACAATGCATCGCTAGGGTTGCCTGTTTTTTTAAATAAATGAATACCATTTTGAAGTAGCGAATTTGTTAGGCAATTAATCACTCGTATCATTGAATAAAAAAGAAGAGTTAGGTGTTCATTTATTTATTATGACTTGACAAGCAGATATCTGTATAGGCAGCACAAATTATTGGTTGGTATGCGTGGCAAAAGGGGTTTTTTTGTTTTTTCAAAAGAACAACCTTGCGGATGAATAATGTATTATTCATGGGTTCTATTGTTTTTTCAGTTGTAACCAAGGCAAAGGCATTAAGTTGCTTATTGGTTTAAAAAAAACCAAACGAAAAATTTGCTTTCCAATTGAGTTGTGTTTGGTTGAAGGCCGATAAATTCAAACCAAATGGACAGTCATGTCCACGTTTCGATCAAGCAAATATAAAAAGTAAAATAAAGCTAAACAATAAAAACCTCCCACCCACCCGAAGACGGTTTAACTCCCTTCTTCCTTTCCCTCCTCCATCGCTCTCACCTACCCTCCAGGCCCTCCACAGAAACCTGACCATCCACATCGCCAACCCGCCATCTTCTGCTTCTCCTGATTCCCGTTCCCGCCGCAAACCCCGACATATTCCATACGGTTCGCTTATTCTCCCTCGGCGAACAACCTAGCGTCCAGTCACCACTCGCGTGGACTTTAACAACGCCACCGAAACACGACGGTACTGTTTATTCGCCGGCGAGAAGGAAATCAGGCCATCCAAGCTATTGCATGCACTCATGATCCAGGGCTGCCTGACTGACCGATATTAGTACCATCTCTACATTTCCAGGAGGTAAGTGTTCAAATCTGACCGCATTAAAACCCATCCTAGGACGTTTCACCTCCCTTTTTCCCTGACGCTTTTTTCTGCTCTGCTCACTCTCCGGCCACCAAAGCAACTGTGAACCCATTCCAGTGCATGCAATCATTTTCCAGGCCTTCTCTCTGCCTGATCGACGTTAGTCCTACCTCAGCATCTCTACAAGGTAATCTCTAAAACCCTACCTCGGCAAAAACTTCCCTTTCCCCTCATCAAGAATTTATGGCACTTTTTCCAGACCGCTCATCAACTACATTCGTTTGCCGGCCTTCAAATTAGGTTTTTCCAGAGCTAATACAATGTTATCATTCAGAATAGTTTGTTTTTTTTTAGTTCGATACTCCAAGGAAACTTTGTATGCTTGTAGTGACACATTCATGTATTGTGTTGCTATTGTTTGTGCACATTCGGGTTTACATATTTAGTTGATTAGTTGTATAGCTCTAACATTTGTTGATAGAGTTGCTAATATTGCTACTAATTTAAATTATAGGTTCTTTTCCATGGGAGACTTCGTTTCAAATTTGCGATATGAAGTTGCCGTACGAATTTGGGACCATATAGAAACGGATGAACTTATCCCTATGCAATTGGATGTTGCTAATCAGGTGAATCAGATAACATATATTTTATCTAGCCGGAAGCTATATTGCCTCTAAAGAATTTGCATCTAATGGGGTCTTGTTTTGAATTCCTTTTGTTTTGTATTGTACCAGGGCAAGTCATACATTTTGAATGGGTGGGTCAAAGAAGTGAGAAGATCTTGGAATGCCGACTCCGGCATATACATGTTGCACGTGACAATTGAAGATTTTACCACCGGTATTGAGCTCGTATGTCCATCAACTTACTTACGGCGAGTCATGTCTGCTGCTGTTGGTCCTGATGAGATGGAAGATATGGAGTACATTCCACTACTCAACAGGATTGGTGAGGGCCCATATAGTGCTTTGCTGACATTCGGACCTTGGAACAACGTGGAGAATCGTCTTAATGTCTTTTTGGTTAAGTTGTTCCCGATTTTAGACTAAGTAGCGTAGGGTAGTATTAGGCTAATCGGATTAATGTTAGTAATGGTCGACCTCACTTTAGTTTCGAATTTTCTAACCGCGTAGTGAATATGTGGAGTACATTTTTTTGAAAGGGTATTATCCTTTTGCGGTGGTCCTTCATGTGACCATATTTTGAGGATCATATAATTGTGTTCTTTGTTAACTGTCACATTCCTTGCTCTTTAGTAAATTCCTTGTAAATTAGTGTATTCTAGAGTTTAGAGTTGGAACGCGCTGGCAGACCATTTAGGTAGCCGCCCAAACAAAAGGGAAAACCCCCCACAGGGGCAATTTAGTTAGATGCATTTGAAATGTATTAGCCCGGCTGTGTGTAGTCATTTGCCATGGGTTTTGCAAACAACTCTGGCCCGATTACTGCATGAGCCACATAGGAAATAAGGGCATCTTTCCAGCTAAAAGATAGCATCGCGGCAGCTGAATATGGTTTCCGTCAGATTCCGGTGGAAATATTTAACCAGTAGTCCTTGGGCCAACTACGTCAAGGGAGAAGAGTTTGGGCCGGATGCGTAAAGGGGAAAAAGTCTGGGCTGGATACTTCAGGGGGCAACAGGCCGGCCCAACTATATTAAAAACTGTCCCGGTCCACCGGCAGAATGTGTTGGAGGTGAAACGCAACAGGTTTATTTAAACGTGGATTGCCTAAAGTACCCATCCGACAAACCCTCTGCGAACTGGTAATTTGAATCCCTGGAAACGAAACACTTGTTTTGCCTTTATAAGATAGAGGCCACAACCCAAAAACGAACAGCAACATGGGATTCTTTGGTTCGAGAGATCCGCACCAGACCTGTGAAATATAAAGGCAGCAACGAATATGAACGTTAGAAGATACATTTCAGTTCCAGGAGGATGCTGAGCAAGCAATCTACAAAAGATTCAATGTACCAGATTGAAAGGAATACCTCTAGTTAGGAAGATGGGGTCTGAAGGTCAACGAATGCTTCCTGGTAAACAATATTTCGGGTACAGTTGGAAGGCACGCCATCTTCATTCATAATAAGGAACCTAAGTCCATCTGGTGTTCTAACTCTAGAAACAGCGACATAAAGTTGGCCATGGCTGAACACTGGCTTCGGCAGAATACACACCAACATTTTGCAATGTCTGGCCCTGGCTTTTGTTGATTGTCATGGCGTAGCACAATCGTACTGGAAACTTGCCGGCGCTTAAGAACAAATGGCCAACGATAATCATTGACACTAAGGACAATTCTTGGAATTGCCACAGTCTTACCATTGAATGTACCCCCCATTATCATTCCTTTTATCACATAATGGTCCAAATAGAGCACCATTAAGCGTGTACCATTACAAAGACCAAGGATGGGTTTAGATTCCTCAACAGCATAATTGGAGCAAATACCTTGAGATCAATCTGATGTTCAGGGCAGCCATTGAAGGACAAGGAATTAAGGAATTCAGTGGGATATTCAGCTTCGAGTCGGTCTGGATCGCTTGCATCTGTATGAAGACTGTCACCACTAAAATATGTGCGTGGCATTCCCGGAATCAGAGCTAACATATGAGAATTGATCTCTGTGACATTTGCATTGGTCGGTGTGATAATGGATCTTTCAGTGAGGTACGATACATTATGGAACCGTTGAGCAAAGTCAGGATAGACTGTAGACGTAATCGTATGGATGGGATTTCCTGAAGAAGGAAGCAGTAATGATTCCGGAATCTCTATCCAATCAGTAGATTGGTTAGAAGGAAATGATTTTCCTGGCACATTCCCATTTCCCACAGCAAGAGTCCATTCGGTAAAGGGCATGCCACCAAAAGTTGACCTTTGACTCTCCCGGGAAGCAACCACGCGCATATTTTCAGTTAAGTGCAACACAGTGCAATGTTGCCACAAAAAGGAACAGGTCAGAGATGAATCAATACTTTCTTCTCTGCCAGCATCAGCTACTATTGGAAGCGTCTGACGAAAATCGCCTCCAAGAGAACAACTTTGCCACCAAACGGTTTATAGTGTGCACCACTAAACGGAACATCCATAATATCACAAAAAGCTCTGTTTACTGCATCAAAAGACAATCTGTGAACCATTGGGGCTTCATCCCATATTATAAGCGATGCATTAATGATCAATTGAGCCAATGGCGTACCTTTCTTGATATTACATGAAGAACCATGATCGATTTTCCAGTGGTATTTTAACACCGAGAGTGAGCTGTACTTGCATCAGGAAGTAATGTTGCTGCAATTCCTGAAGAAGCAACTACCAAAACTATTTTTCCAGCTTCTTTAAGTTGCGCTAAGAATAGTTTTGTAGAGAAAAGTCTTGCCTGTTCCTCCATGACCATACAGAAAGTAGAATGTAGGCGAGTCTTCTGTTGGAAACATAACAGATTCCATTACACAATGAAAAGCTTCAAGTTGCTTTCTGTTAAGATCACCAACTACAGGAGGTGGGGAATCCACAGCAGCTAAAGTACCAGGATGTGAATCAGTTCCAAACTGAAGCAAGGGATCAGTTTGTGGGTGATCATCTGTTGGCAAGGGAAGGTTAAAATGAGATAACGTGGCTGGAATAAGCATGTAACATGTGCTGCAATTCCCACAACAATTTTATCTTGGGCAAATCAGTTGGTATGAGGTTGTTGTTGAAGCAAACGTCTCGTTGGCACCTATATGTGATGTCTTTCGCAAAGTAATTCCCATGTCTGATTGAAAAGCTGCAGTGGGTTTGATAGTTCACAGAACATCAGCATGGACACAAAGAGGTATCGTAACAAGCGGCACATGCCCCATTGGCTGACTTCTTTAATCACAAGTAAACCATTCATCATCGTTAGACAAAAGACCAAGGCGCTGGCACGCATCTTGATATGTTCTACATGGGAATCCATGGACTGTCCGAAGATCTGCATAACTAACTGACCCACGAACTTTGGTAAGAAGTTGTCTGAGATAAAATGTATCACCACAACCTGGATGGATATAGACAATTCTTCCAATTGAGAACCCTCTTTTCCGCGGAGCCCATTTTTTTGTTTTTCGCATTCCATATATAACGATTCGGAGTCTCGGCATAAAGTAGATCCCTTGCAGTTGGATCTCGTTGGTTAAGGGAAAACCATTGTGTCAATGTTGTCTCTGAAACAGAATCGCGGGCAAGTATTCGAGACAGCCGTTGTTTCTTCCTATAAGGAACATAATGTCTCCCTTCAAGATGAACGCACAACCGCTGAACCGGCGGTGTTCGTTCATGAACAGGGAATTCAAAGATCCGCCACGCTGCCTCATATGAAGACAGACTTCTACAATCAAGAAACTGTTTAATTTCGTCCAATGGAGGGATATGGTTTGGGGTAGCAGAATCAGACACAGACAAGCCATGCAGTTTCAGCAAGAACCATGGATCTATCAGGCCCTTTTGTAATGTACTTAAACAAATATTTAATCAAGCGGCCTTGATGACAGACCTCGACATTGATATGAGCTTGAAACAGCACAAGTAAATTCCGATTATATGGAACGATAAACCGGTTGTCTAGTATAGCTGTACCTTTCACTGATGTTATACCTGTATCGCGACGGCGATAGACTGTATAGCCAAACTGGTCCGTTGTAGTTTCTGAATTAAACGGTTTTGGAAAATACTTTGAACACGATCCTTCTTTCATGCAAACATTGGTCGGATTATCTTGACCACACGGACCATGCAGCATAAACTTTGTCACAGCATCATACCCAATTGGATCTAGTAATGGATCTGGCAGTTCAGCACTAACAGTTGCATCAATATCAGAAACTTGTCGTAGCTTATTCTTTGCATCCAACCATAAAAGTATATGAACATGGGGCAAACCCCGTTTCTGAAACTCGACGGTTTTGATACCTGGAATTATAAGGCAACGAAATGTGTCATTTATGCTAGAGCACAAAACATGAGGTAAGTGAGGAAGTTTAGAGTAACAGGAAAAGGAGAATTGATAACAGGCAATTGTAAAAGGAAGTAAGACAGAAGGCAACCGAACAAACCTGCCACTGTTTGACCAAAAAAATGGCCTCGTGTTAATTCATCTTCCAGTGCATTCAGTTTCATGCGAAAGACCCTAGCAACAATCTCTGGTTTTAGTTCGCTGCGTGCACCACAGACAGTGCGGAAAGATTCTGTTATTTCTGGCCACTGGGAGTTGCACGTAAAGGTTATGAATAGGTCGGGGCTGCCATGATGGTGGACAACAGCCATTGCATCTAAGTATAGTTGCTTCATATACCTAGGACTTCCAGTATGCGATGATGGCAGAACAACATGGCCAACAGCATCTCCTGTAACATCACCTCTGTTGAAAGCATCTGTAAGGCCATAGTATAGTTCAGAACGGAGGTTTTCTTGATGCGATCGCAAATAATAGAGTCGGTTTTGTTCAATTGTGGAATATGCATCAACCACGTAATGTTGAAGTGCCTTCCCACCTCGCATCAATGTCTGACCTTCGTCGTCTCTGTGCTGAAGCCGGTAAGCATAGTACTCTCTCTGAGTCACATGTTTCCTTTTCAATGTTTTGGGAGTATGAACAGGATCATACGGTATGGTTACATGGAATCCATCTTCTCCGTATGGGAAAAGGACTGGAAAATGCAAAGCATCAAACTTCGGGTGTACACTTGTGATCCTCTTCAGGCCCTCTGACCGATGATCAATAATGATGTCTCGTTCTTCCTTATCAGGCAAGAAATCACCAGGAATGAGTCCAGCCAATTCTGAACCAGTTGGAAGTTCATATTGTCGAGATGTTGTGTCCCGTGCACCAACAATACGCAGTCTTAAATTGATTGATGCTGGATCATTCAATTCAGATTGAATGCGTCTAAAAGACTTAACTAATTCATTTGTCACGTCAAACAGCTTCATTAAACCAGAAACAATATCAGGACGCAGGGACCTTTCAGCAGAAGAGAAATTGGAGAGTCGATCTGCTAGTTCGGTCTGCGGGTCAAAGACGTATAGCTGAGAATATTTAGGTCTCTGGCCTGCAGCAGGAAGCAAAGATCCCATTCGATGATAATTTTCTCCGCATATCACAAATGAATAAGGTCCTCGTGAACGTGTAACTCTCGGATCAAGGCGTGCTCCAAAAGATGTGAAAGAAAAAGCAGCATTATAGGAGCGTATATGTTCCCTGAAGTGCGCTGCCATAGGACCGGCATTAACACCCAAGAGGTCTTCAAGGTACTGAGGAGTTTCCTGTAGGAATGGGAGGCGTACTCGTCCCTTTTGACAACAAAGCGTGAAAACAGGAGCAAGAGATGCATGCCTGTTAAGCCGCTCTTCATACCAGAACCGTGCACCACAGTATTGGCATTCACAGTCAGGGAAACCATGATCGATAATTCGACTGAAGTCTGATTGTTGTGAAGGTGGTAGAGTCACATCAGGCAACGAACAATCACCATCCAACGCAACAGGAGGCTGAGTCTGCGAACTGGCTGTTAAGTCTTCAGGAGTTCTTAAGTCCAGTTCGGATGAGTCAAGTTCACCTTCTGAATCAAGCAGTGGGTGCAAGCGTCCCCGTCTATCAAAGTTGCACGCACGACGCCTCACAGAACTTCTCGAAGGAGGCGTGGTAGGCACAAATTCAGTGGAAAGACCAATATGACGACGCTTCCTATTCGCAGAACGACCGGGGAACAGGAGTGCAGCCTGTCTGGGAGTGGCCTGAGATCACACACTGACGTTACAAAAAAAACAAAGACCTGCAAACTATGGCACAAGCGTAGCATGGTACAGGAAACAATGGTAAACGTAGCAAGATAAAAGTAATAAATTGACCAAACTAACCATGCCACGCCTTCTAAACGGGTACAGTGGAATAACAAAACTGGCAGAATTGCAGAGGAAGGCAGATACCAGGTAATGGTATAGCAGATGCAGCAGAGAATTGCATTCAATGACCAACAGCAAAGACAAAATGAGCAAAAAGGAGCAGTAATGGGGAAGCAGTTATGGAAGAAGACAGTCTACAGGTAAACGATGTTTCCAGGGAAAAATATCCTTCTTAAGAAAATGTATAATAATACAACATGCACCATAGCAGGCTAGTCTAGAGAAGTGAGAAGTAATAAAGCCATCATTAGTGAACAGCCTAGTCAGAATAATAAATGCATGATGGCAATTAATAGAAGAGAAATAAGTTTATAATGTGGGTCTATGGAAGCTAATAAACAAAGGCATGGTATTAGTGGACAATCAAAATATCTAGTTACTGTGTGGCTGGTAGGACACCACCTAAATACCCTGCAACCGAAAAATGTGTGCACAATTTGGTCCTCAAAGCGGCCATTTACAACAGGCAATGGCCACCTGCGAATACAGAGCAAAACAAGTGACTAACGAAGAGGACACAGGCGCGATGCGAATGCGGCCTAAACGGCGAATTTTCGCGCAACAAATGAAGATACAAAGTACAACAGATCCTTAGCACAAAATAAAGATCAGTTGCAGAGTGGCGCAATACTATGCCACTTAAAGGAGTCCATGCCCAAATGGTGTTTTATATTAACGACATAGACCTGGTTAGAAAGCAGGTACGCAAGGGGTAATCTGTACCAAGAGGTAACCAATACAAGTCAAATGTCATAGCAGAGCAGATTGATAACAGTGGTGCCAGTAATGGAACACCACAGGTGTGCCAAAGGTTGCAACATTCAGACAAAAAGGCAAGAGTACAGAATGTACACTCGCTAAATAGTGTTCCCCTTAAACAGTTCTACAAAAGGAAGGGAGGGACAGTACTGGACAAACATGGTACATTAGCA